GATTAAACACTCCATTTCTAGTTGATAAAGGAAATTTCTCACTCTGTGAGCTTTCTTCATGTGTTTCTTCTCGTTAATGGTTCCCAGGGGGTGACTAAGACCTTGATAAGTCTCTCAGCATCTCTTTCTATATATATATATATATGGTTCCCAGGGGGTGACTAAGACCTTGATAAGTCTCTCAGCATCTCTTTCTATATATATATATATATATATATATATATATATATATATATATATATAGACAGAGAGCAGAATTTCTTTTTAGTTAGAGTTCCCATTATATAGTAATATGTGCTGAAAATGATAGAAGTCCTCCAAATAAGGTGCTCTATCAGGTGCATAGGGGCTGTGGATTATTCTTACTGCAGTTTCATAAGAAGGCCATGGTCTGCTATGCATAAATCTTTGTGGGATCTTGCAAATTTATATGTTCACATTTTACATTAATTGACAAAACATTATTAGTCCACTAGCCCATTAACTATTTCACCTTTTTGAAGTATCAGCGGAATTTGAGAGTCAGCAAAGAGCAGACTCTAGGCACATATATTTGTGGACTCCTCTGATAAGGAGTATGTTGTTTAATCAGGTTTTGCCTGCTGTGTGTTTACAAAACATCCTAAGTCCTTTTGCAAAGTGAGATTTTTGTGTAAGCATCACTATAACTGGATTGGAGATAATTGTGTTAAACTGGATTGGAGATAATTGTGCTGGAATCCATGCATGCAAGAGTAGACCATGCAAGCTTAACAACAATGCATCCATGCAACAGAGCCTAATAATAAAAGTCTGGCATTTTGCACAGGTTACCATTAACTGCTTTATATATCACTTCTGCATTGTGTTACATGTTCAAGTGATGTATAATTCCTAAAACTGCCCAATGTGTTTTAGGCCTTAGATATGAGCTAATATTTCGCCTCCTCAACCCTATAAAAGCGCATCTTAATACTTGCAAGCTTAAGACCAGCAGGCCTCTATCTTTCCTCTGCTTATTTTTCATGATACACATAGCTTACGCTTAATGAGGATGATTAACAAAATAAACACATTTGGTTAGTAGCACATGACCACTACCTATCATCTTAAAAAGCAGTGAGGAGGGATTTAATTTCATACAGTTTTTGTCTAGTTTGCCTTAAATAAGCAAAGTTCTGATCTTTATTGTCACATTCATCTGTGGAGGAAAGTTGTCAGAAAGAGCTAAAGAAATTAAAGACTATTCAGATCATCCTTTGAACCTGTTTTCAACGAGTGATAAATAATATTTGCTTTGAGTTTGCAAACTTTTGATGAATGGTACATCATCATCACTAACTTCTTATTTCAGACACAAGAAAAATAACAGAACGAGAGAAAACCACATACAAACAGGAGGTTGTTCATCCATTGCTATAAAAGTTGAGGGGCCAGTGTTTCCACAGACCAGAAAGGAACCTAACAGAGCTTTTTAAAGGGTTTGGTACGTGAGGATCATCAAATAAATTGATGTGTTTTGCGCATCAAATTTAAACCGTTTTGTGAATTTCAGGTTTCACAGCTGCAGGTCTGTTCCCCGTTTCTGAAACTCTTGGTGTGGATGTGCACTGGAATTAAGATGGCTCAGGACAGATTAGTTAATTATAGACACCTGCTGTCTAAGCATGGCCTTGTGTTGTCAGGTGTTGCAGCATGAGGCGAGCTTCTTGCACTGGGGAGAAAAAGGTGGAGCTGCATAGACAAATGTTTTGCCATGTGCTCTGATGTTGACCTTTCCCTACCTGTTCTTCCACTAAAAGGGCTGCTCACCAATAAGCCTCTTCTAATATTGCAATCGACCTATCATAGCAAATCTTTAAAATTGTCAATAATAATAAATCAAACAAATAATAAGTATGAAACAACTAATAAAAAGTCAGAAAACAGTTGATATGTCATATTTGTCGATATTTGTGAACAACAACTTATTTTCCCCACAAATTGGAATCACATTACTGCAAACATAGATGCTTTCTTTGTAAAACCTCTAATATTCAATGTCATTTTGCCCTATATTAAGAAGCAATACCCGGCTAAAGCAACTGAGCCTGTCACTGTCAAAGCTGGTCTGAGGAGGGGTGACCAGTAGGTCTCTCAGTTTGCAGTCAGATACTCTTACAGTAGTTGTTGTAGATAAATGGTTGTTATGAGCTACTTTATTTATTGCTGTAATCTACAAATGCTGCACTTTAATGAGCTGGGTCCATTGAAATGATCCTGATTGGAGAGTTGAACAACGAGTTTCTTGGCTTTAATTTCTACTTTCAGTCAGTTGTTACGTTGGTCCACAGTTTGAAAACCTTGAGAATCATCTAACCTAGCCTTAAACCTCATAGAATCAATGAAACAGAAAAGAGTTCATCCTAATGCAACTACTGATCCCTGGATCTATAGTGTAACCAATAATTATAACAATCATTATTGGCATGAAATAATTTCTGAAACATTTTCAGGATGTCTTAATTCAGTCGGTCTTTGAAATAATCTAGTGATATAGAATTCAGCTGGTATTTGGAAATACATTTTTAATTTTAAAGTATTTGTCTGGAGTATTATCTTCGTGTTATAAAAGCAATGATTAATTGCATAGATTTGTATTTAAGTTTTGGACATTGCTCATGAAAAAAAACCCTGTGCATAATATACTCTCTTTACAAGATAAAATTATATGAAAAGCACATGATTAATGTGCTTCTGTTACTTGATAAATCTGTAAGAAAACCACCAATATTCATGTTACAAATTTCTACATAAGGTAAACCTACTGCAAGTGTTTGTTTCTGCTCAAAAGCTCAAAAAGTAGATTTCGGACAAGCACTAATTTGTGGTTATTAATATGTGCTTTAGTTATTTTCAGAATCAAAGTAGAAACACTGGAAAACCAAAGAAACTAAGCATATCTGGAATACAAACAGAGTGAAAAATGCCGCCAAGGATTTTCCCTCCTTTACTAATCTTGCTGGTTGACTCCACCCTTCTTGTCTGGGAGCCTTCAGTCACACCTCAACTTAACCACTTTGCTTCTCCATTACAGCTGAAAGAGCAGGCATCTTTGACTTTGATTGGAGATAAACAACTGATGTTAAAGAAGTGACCTACTAGGGTGTTTTCTTTTTTTGGAATTTAAAGGACTAAACTCTTTTGACTCTTTTCTTTTACTCACGCATTGGCCATGAAATTTCAAAGAACTCAGCTGGTTGTTTTAATTGTGTGACATATCTGATCCAGAACATATTTTTGCCTGAGTAAATATACAGCTGGTAAGTATAATTATTTCTTATTATCACTGTACTCTGCACTATGCAATTAAAAGCTAAAGATGCAGATAAAGGTTTGTTAACTGTAATTCTGTCATTGACTCCAATTGCAGTAAAACATATATATTATTCAGTATATATATGCAAAGGTTTGAGGATATATTTCTGTTTTTCATGTAAATCCCAGGGCCTTTATTGGTAAATAAATAATGCTTGAAGTCATTTCAATTTGGACAAATAGAGCATGTTCGTGATCCTAGAAGTACTTCATTCAAAAACGTTTTTGTGTTAAGAATCAGAGTTGCGGCAATCCAAAAACCATTCACTGAAGTGATAGTGAATACCCTTATACTGACTAATTATTAATATTCTCTTTTTGTATTTTAATATGTGTAAAAACTTTGTTTTTTTTGTACAGTCAATGGTATCCATGCTGTATAGGTTTATGTTGTCTTTTCAGGATTCAGGCAGGTGATGTTAACACTTTGACTCTTTATAGAAAGACCCCCATCTCCGTTACATAAGTCAACCATTTGTGAGCTCGAAGAGCTAATTTTATCCTTACTAAATCGCTTAAGTCTCATTACTGCCAGAGCACCCTGTATCAGAAACCCTTGATTGACTTGGTAGTTGCCATGATATCCCCTTATGTATTCCCTTTACGTTTTTTTTCTTTTCTTTTTTTTTTTGAAAGTGGCAGACTATATTCAAATTATTAATTTTGTTTTCATTTTCAATGAAGAAATTCTGCTTCATTCCAAAAAAAAAAAACATGTTCCATTTAAAGTTTATTGGAGGAGTTTTGAATGTCTTGTTTTCTGCAAGAAAATGTTTTCATTGGCCTAAAACCCTGAGTTTTACTGTAGTTTTCGAAGTTTGTTTTGCGGATGCCATTAGGGTCAAGGTGGTTCAAGTGACTGCAGGGACTCATTGTTACATAACTGTGTACAGCCTTTAAATCTCCTGGAGTACTTCTGTGTTCTCCAGGAGATTTAAAGGCTGCTCAGGGAAGAGTTGATCTTAAGTCAAAGAGGCTTTAGACCATAACAAACCTGAGCTACGTATTGCTCTAAGGTCAAAGTGAGGATAGGAAGATAGAGAAGTGCATGCTAGGATGGAGGAGATTGCGGACTACTCCTAAAATCCGTAGTCTAATCTTCCGCATTTTGAGTAAACAATAGGATGCTTTAATATTTTAAGTCCTGAAAAAAGTCTTGGATTACAAGCTTGTGACACAGATCACAAACTTGTAAGGTCAATGCCTTCTTTAAAGAAAAATGTCATATATATTCAGTACATAGAATATTCCCAATTTACATTAACCATTATGTAGAGCCCATAAAACAAAAGCAAAAACAACATAATATGCAAGGGCATCTGCAGGTTCTTTTATTTTTTTATTCCATTTTAAAACTCAAACTAATTATTTCTAACTAAGTCTTTTGGAGTTAAATTCAGTTATTCAATATAGCACAAATTTACAAGTCATCAAATTTCCAGGCACTTTACAAGACCGCTGTGACTCATATGCATTTATAAAAAAGATAATTAATCCAAAAAAATTAAGTTGAATTAATTTACCACATTCAATACAGCCTGATTTAAATTTTATACAGTTCTAAATAATGCTACACTCAAAATCAGTAAATAATTCACTTGCAGTGATTTGTCTTCCTAAAAAAGCATGTGGTGACAGAGGAAAGGAAAGACAAGAAGAAACTCAGCAAATCAGATTGAATATGAGCAAGTATCAGCTAAGACTGACAGAGAAGCCAAGATATCTTGTTTACAAGGAATTTCTATGTAAAAGAAAAGGAAAAAAGCTAAAGCAAATTTTGTATCTTAATCTCAGAAAGAAACACAGCTAGGGGGGAATCAATAAATCAATAGTACTACTGAATGAAAAAAGAACACAAACTTTAATGAAGACACTGCTCTTTTGCAAGGTTCATTTGGGAAGGAAGCCCCTTTAAACATAAAAATACAGGCTCATTTTTTTTCAAAAGGAGAAATCAATGTCATCACTTGTTAGGAATAATAAACAATGATAAATAAACAACCGCAGCAACTAGTTGCCCTATTAAATAGCAGTCCCATTATTATCTTCCTTGACCTGAAAAAGAATGCTAAATAAGTGAATAGCATTACATTTGATTATCATATTGATATGATGCTTATTTAGAAGAGGACCTAGAGGTGAAAACTTGTTATGAGTTGATAGAGAAAAATAAAAGGTAGAGGAAAATGCTGAACAGCCACTAAGCAGGACTATGCAGCAAAAACTAATTTAATGCAGAAATGAATTCAGCACCAAAGATTTGAAAAGAAGAAAGAAAAGGAGAAAAGATTTTTTCAAATGTGTCGGCTAATGGCTTTCATCGAACATGAGACAAAAAAGGTGATAAAAAGGCAGTTAGAGATAAGGTCAAGGACACTAAAAACCAACACAGAATTATAAGAAGAACTAACAATCCAAATTCAGATAAAGGTACAAAAAATAAAAATAGAACAAAGAACAATGCATAAACAAACCAAAAACATAACACAAGATGAAATCAGTGGATATTTACTGAAACTGATTTACAGAATAAAAAAGGTTATCACTCCTGAATAGCAACTCTTGTATCTATATTTTTCAGTCCAGTCGAAATGCAGAAGCAAGTGGAGGTCAGGATGAGCGAGAGCCACATAGACCCAATCGTGGAGACTCCCGAGAATCCATGTAGTAATATCTGTGAAAAGATAATGAAGAACATGGTTCTCACTCTCACAATCCTCGGTAAGTCCATTGTCCCTTTATTTCCATCAGGCTACACACAATCCATTTGTCTTCAGTTCTCATATATCCTGTTCAGGGACTCACAGGGGCTGGAAGCATATTTCAAACAATAGACTGGTTTGACATGAAGTGGGTCACCAAAAAAAGGGTGACTGGAGCAAGTGAATGGTTTAAAAAGCTCCGGTGAAGATTGAGTGTTCCCACCAGGCTTTCAGGGTCTGCACAGCATTAGTCTGCTCCATCTTTCATCTATTTCATTCCCCTAAATCGCACAGAAATGATCACAAATGCAGTAAACATATTTCCTTGGTGTTCAGGTTTATTTGATTTACAAATATTTAGAAAGACCTGAACTCCCTGGTCAGGTAAGTCATTATTTCTTTTTGCTGCAATGTATACATTTGTTTGCAAAATGGGATTTTAGTACAATTTTATTTCTAAAATTGCAGATTAAAAGCATAACAGAAACATGTCTTACTTACCAGATGGTTCACAGAATGGGCTTGGGTTTGTCCAGTTAAAGTCAAACAGTAAAAGCCCAGTTTGACGAATAATAACCTAACAAAGGTTTATCAGAGCATAGGAAAAATTTCAACCGAAATACTGGATAAAGTCAAGGAATCAACTGGATATGAGGAAAAGCTGCAGGCTGTTTGCCAGAGCCCCCTGGTAGTTTAGATTCTATTATTAGATGTTTACATTATCATGATTAATGATGTTATAAAATGCAATCCCTCTGAGAGTTAACCTTTGATCTGCCCTGCCAGCAATTACTTTTCGAACTATTTAAGAGGGAAACTCCTCCCACACTCCTTTGCTATCACTTCTAACCAAGCAATCTTTTTCAATACTTCTAAGAAAAACCATCAACTTAATTTAATTTAAACTTGTTTAAACAATTCTTTATTCACTTCAGCATCTTTTAACATAGAACAATCCTAAAGAAATGGGTAAATGGGTCCATCAGCTTTCATGATGGAAAATAAAGTTATATCGACAATGGTTGTTGATATCAGGTGATAGCCATGTATTTTCCATCTGACATTATATCTGCAATCAGTGGAGAGAACCTGGCTTCAGCATTTGTAGTAGCATCTGCTGTTATTTAAGCTCTAAGAGGAACTCGGAACATCAGAGAAAAATCCAGCCTCTCATTGCAATCACATCGGAGCTTAGATTTAGGACAATTCAACCTTTCCTATAGTGGACATTCTTGCAAAAGACAGCCTGTTTCAGAATCTTTTGGAGACTATTACAATAAAATACATAGATTACTGGCTATATTTTTCTAATGATTTTTTCTAATAATCCTTTTTTTTCTTTTAACCAATATATTCTTGCAGAGTAGGTGGGCAAAAAAGGAACTTGGATGAAGTAATTCATTTACTAACTAAATCGTCTACATCTTTACTCTTTGTTTATAACCAAGATACGTCATGTATAACTTATAGAAAGGTTGTTAAAATAAAAATCTAAATGTTGAGAATATCAGATTGTTTACAGAAGAGTTTTATTTCATGCCTTAGAGTCACCAGTTCTGTGTCTAATGTTGTTGTTTTTTCTTCTCTCTTACTTTGACAGGTGTGTTTCTTGGTTCTATTGCTGGAATGCTTCTGAGGCACATATCCCCCCTCCCTCCTGACATCATAATGATCATTGCCTTTCCCGGGGAGATCCTAATGAGGATGTTAAAAATGCTTATTTTGCCTCTTGTTGTTTCCAGTTTAGTTACAGGTGGGTGAGATTTAATATCTGTGGGGAATAAAATGTTCTGCTGAATTTGCAAACAAGTGTCCTGAAATGAGGTCACACTGTTAATTGCTGGTACCTGGGAGCTGCCTTGTAAAAGAGAGTTGGTGTTGATTTTAATGATTAATATTTTTGTTTGTTGTCAAACTAAAAGATTCTTCTGAAGATTATTTCTTTCTTTGTTAGGGGACTTATAAGGCACAGTGTGACTATTTCTCAGGCGGGGTTGATTCTTCAAGTAGCTACTTTTCTTCAAAACATTTCCCTCAATAAAAATAAATAAATCAGATAAACTGAAGATGAAAATGATTAAATTAACTGATGATTAAAGTAGTTGACATACTGAGTTGGCAACTGTCCCTTTGCGTTGGTAGATAAAGTGTGAGCACAGAAACCAATCTTTTTAAACTGCACAAAATAGGATTTTTTATTTAATGAAAAACTTATTTTTTAAGACGAAATATTACAAACAAATAAGTATTTGAAGTTGCTATAAAAGTAACAACTAAATAATATGACATTCTTTAGGGTCATTTAATGTCTTTAATAAATGTTTACATTATGGTTTCTCTCTTGTTTATTTTTTGTTGTTTTATCTGTTTTTATTGAACAACTGCACTTCCCCTTCTTTTATGTATCTTCTATACAATCTATGTTTATTCTTTACACTTTGGTTCTGTTTGGTTTTTAAACTATCTTTTGAACAAGGCTGGACTGAAATATTTGTAAAGGTTGTCACTTAAGAAGTCAGTATAAATATGTCTCAAACATCTGACCATGTTTCAGAGCTTACAGATTAAGTGAAAATATCAAATTGTGTTTTTGTCATTTTTCCTAGATCTATATTTTGAACTCCTTTCTTTTTTTTTCTTTTTTCCAAACAGGACTTGCGGGTTTGGATGCCAAATCCAGTGGTCGCTTAGGCACGAGGGCGATGGTTTACTACATGTCCACCACAATAATTGCAGCAGTCTTAGGAGTAATCTTGGTGTTGCTCATCCATCCAGGGAATCCCAAATTGAGAGCTAACCTTGGACAGGGAAAGAAGAATGATGAAGTATCCAGCATGGATGCTTTCTTCGATCTCATTCGAAATCTTTTCCCAGAAAATCTGGTGCAGGCCTGTTTCCAGCAGGTAGGAGTCACACAGAGAATTGTCTCTCAGCATATAACTTGATGTGTCAGCTGCTCCCACTCATTTCTTTTTTTACCTGGTTTCAAATTTCTTTCTTTTCCAGATCCAGACAGTAACCACCAAAGTACCGGTGCCAACCAACAGGACCAGAGCACCTCCACAGTTCACAGTTAAGAGGTCGCTTCAGTTCAAGAGTGGGATGAATGTCCTAGGTAGGTGCGAATATAAAAAAAAAAAGCCAAACTTATTTATAAAAAAGGTTAGCAGTTTGATTTAAGAGAAATAAAAGTTTGTTTGTTTTTTGTCATATGTAGCATTTCTGCTTGTAAGTTTATAGCATTTAAGTTTATAGCATTTAATTCTTAACATTTCTGGATGACCTGAAGGTTTAGTTTAAGCTAAATAGATTAGGCTCCTTCCCCTTTTTCAGTTGTTTAAACTTTTTGTAAAACAAACAAAAAAAAAAACCCAAACAGATTTAAATTCAATATATTCTCTGTGCAGGGCTGATTGGATTCTTTGTAGCATTTGGAGTCATCATGGGGAAAATGGGAGAGAAGGCCAAGCTGATGTTGGAGTTTTTCAATGTTCTAAATGAAATTGTTATGAGGCTTGTGGGCGCAATTATGTGGTGAGTGCAGATTTTCCTCATTATTTTGTTCAGAGCATTTATTGTGAAATGTTTAACAATGTTACACTACATCCTTTTTCAGGTATTCTCCTCTTGGTATCGGCTGCCTTATCTGTGGAAAGATAATCTCTATTGCTGACTTGGAGGTGGTAGCCAGGCAGCTTGGGATGTACATGGTTACTGTGATAGTGGGCCTTATCATCCATGGAGGCATTTTCCTGCCGTTAATATATTTTGTGACAGTAAAAAAAAATCCCTTCACTTTCTTCATGGGAATATTTCAAGCCTGGGTCACTGCGCTTGGAACAGCATCCAGGTAAAATAATTCTCCCTTTTTTGTTATGCATTTTGCAATATGGCACTGTCCGTTAAAGGGAGTCAGCATCTGTTGGAAAATCATTATAAGAGATCTTTATTTAAAGCAGAATACAACAAATAATTAAATTTGCAGCATTTTTTGCTTAATGATGTATCAATGTAGGATTATTATGTATGTCTCATGAAGAGTAAATGTTTCTTGTGTTTTCATCAGAAATATTTTTGCTAGACTTTTGTTTCTGAATTTGTATTTTAATATGATTTTTTTTACTCTTAATGGGACTATTGGAACGGTCTCTCTTCTGCCAGTCTCAAATAAAGGTGTTAATTAATACTCTTAAAAAACTAGCTAGCTACTGTGCAAGATTATTATTTTACTTTTATCAATTTTCAAAATAAAGGTCTAAAGGTTTAAAAAAAATCCTCTATCATACATCAGAGAATATATATTTGATCAAATTATTTACTAACTAAAATATATGGTCTAAATTCCAGTCTCAGATTAGGTTATTTTGGATTTATTTTTTTATTTTTTTTATTTTTTAACTTTCTTAGAAAAATGATAATCCTAAAAAAACAACAGAATACATACATGTACAGTAAGAGTAGTCTGTAAAGAGCCATCATTAATATAAATCAGCAGCATAATACCTGTCATGCGATATGTCACTAAAACAGACATCTCATCTGTTTGATACAATTCTATCAAATTCACAAGAAGATTACATTTAGCTGTTTGTAATGGCTGACCATTCTTTGTCCACTTCCAGGCCAGATAAATTACGTAATGAATCAATGTGGGTTGTACAACCTAAATATATCCATCTCACCATAAAGGTTATCTTTGATGTGTTTTGATTCACCAGCGCCGGTACGTTGCCCGTCACATTCCGATGCTTAGAGGAAAACCTGGGCATCGACAAGAGAGTCACACGCTTTGTCCTCCCTGTGGGGGCCACTATTAACATGGATGGTACAGCACTCTACGAGGCAGTGGCAGCCATCTTCATCGCTCAGATGAATGGCATTGAGCTGGACTGGGGCCAAATAGTCACTGTGAGGTAAGATAAGTCCCACTATTTCATGATATTATGCTGGCAAGTTTATTTGTCTCTTATTAAATGTTACCAATTCTCAAATATTTCACATGATTATTTAGCCCATTATTTAAAGTTTTAATCAACATCGATTTATTCATTTACCTTTTTTTGTTGTTTAATTATTTCCAAGTGCATATGAAATCATGATGAGAGTTCAATTTGTCTCCTGTTTAGCATGACCGCCACCTTGGCCAGTGTTGGAGCTGCCAGTATTCCCAGTGCAGGACTTGTGACCATGCTTCTCATTCTGACAGCAGTAGGACTCCCCACTCAGGACATAAGCCTTCTAGTTGCAGTTGATTGGCTGCTGTGAGTTCTAAATCTACACTGTTTTCATTATTCAAAGCATAAAAATGTTCCACATATTCTAACAGAATATAAAGGCTAAGCATTTTATATATTAGCATATTATTTTCATTTTAAATAATATTTTGTAAATATCATGACAAGAGAGTTAAAACACTGGAATCAACTTATTAAAAAGGTCAAAATATATCCATAAGAATTGTTAACAAGCAGCTGATAAAAGTTTGGAAGTGATTTGAACCAGATCTGCCTTGTGCAAAAGCGCTGATGTTTATAGTTAAGACATTTTATCCTGATCTGATATAGAAGGGTTTTAGTTATCTTTGCTAATAAAACGTTTTCCTTTCTGTGTTTTACCTTAATGCAGTGATCGTTTTCGAACCTCCGTTAATGTAGTTGGGGACTCCTACGGCGCTGGAATTGTTTACCACCTTTCCAAAGATGAACTTGACATGTATGATGCCCAACAGACCCGAATGGATGACTTGGAGATGGCAAAGACACAGTCGTTCTTCGAAAACAACACCAACCAGAATGTGTATGCTCACCACAACTCAATCCTGATAGACAACGGCAAGGTACATTTCACATTAACGGACATAGAAACATGTATGTAGAGAAGAGTCGCTGCTCTGTGTTTGTCCTATTTGTGTCTTTGTGTCTCTTTTTCTTTTTTACAATGACTCCTGCACGTGTCTTTGTTGTTCATAGCCATTGTCATATTTTCATTCATGAAAATATATTCATAAGTGGTGAAACTCATAAATAAATATGTCTATATTTATTTGCTCACCTACAAATGATAAGAAGAAGCAGTTTTTGTGATACAAGAGTTCAAAAGGAGAAAACTTTGTGCGTTGCGGGGTTTTATTCATCAAGAAATCCCATAAAATCTGAAGGAAATTATTTTTAAGCTGTATTAACAGTACGCTTTCTTGTGGCTGGTTACATTGAACTTTTGTTTACTTTTGTTTTGTTGAGAATGAATTTTTTACATGCTTTTGTCAAATTGGACATGTATTTATGGTGACCCCAACCAAATTACGCTTATCAATCCATAGCCATCTTTTTAAGATCTTATACGGCCAGAGGTGTTCATAAAGACTGCTGATTCACCGTATTTCATTGCAAGTGATGCATTATATTCATAGATGCCTCTCCAAACCTGTCCCTGTTGTTTTGTTTGTTTACAAACAGTGATTTTGTTGATCTCTCACTGCCTCTGTTTTAATTATCATTATTGTAATTTGGTTGGGGAGAGAATCCATAAAATACATGACCAACTATGGAGAACTCTACATGTATTCTCTTTAGGAACTTGTCATTCCATTGATGCTTGTTATGGCATATCTTTAAGGGGATGTTTATAAACCCAGGGGATTTATAAACTTAAGTCTGTCAAAATGGCAAAGGCTTGAATGTAATGAAGAAATGGCTTCTCTCCCCAAAACCACACAATATTTGTTTATAAAGGTGCCTTGGACCAAATAGTTAGCTTTTCTTGATAACTGCTTACAGGTCAAAAACGGCAGAAACGGCAACACTCCAGAGTTCTCTATTGTTGAGGAGGATCCCTGGAATTTCAAGTAATGCAGATTCAGCACTTTAGCCTGAGTTTGACCAGCTTTTATCTTTTGAGGTCACAAAGTTAATAAGAAAAAAAGAAAAGAAAAAAAACTTTTGTGCAAGGACACAAAGAGTGAGTGTACTGAGACTACACACACGGAAACTCTACTGCAAGAGCAAACTGTTGGCAAGTCGGGGAAATCTCTTGCTCTTCTGGGTAACTGCTAGAGGACGCTGTGCTTTAGCACCTTAAACTTTGTCATGCTTCCAGAAGTTATGCATACACATAAACTGGACTGAAATTGTGTGCTTGAAGCGATTCATCAAAGAGCTGGCTGACGTCTGTCAGGATCTTACTGAGGGTTGCTGCATAATTCCTATACTGTCAAGATTAAGCCTAATGTTTTATTTTGGAACAACTGATTCTATAATGTTGTGTTTAAGGACTTGTCCCGTGACTTAACGTATAAACACACATAAAAATTGGAGATACTGACATAAGATTCAAAATTAAATAAGACAAATGCTGCAGAAATCCATGCTTCAGTAATTGTTTACCTTCCCAGACATTTACAATGCATTGTTGTATTTTACCAAATAACTAAACGTGTTGTTTTGTCTATTAGGATGTTAAAAAAGGACATCAAGTTAATGTAACCTGACTTCAACTGGCATTAATCTTAAAGTACAGTACAGTTAAGGATTGTATTACCTCTAACTGTTTGATTTATGGGATTATACCTTCACGCACGTGGTAAAGCCTAAGAAGTTAAGCTTAATACTTAAGACAGGGAGGGAATCTAAAAGTGGCAACAAACTGTACAGAACAGGGTGTGTTGTTGAGAGTAAATCTGTTCAAATCTTTTACTGCATTTCTTTATTTATTTCTTTATTTCTACTTTAAGTATCTGTTGTTACATGTGAACCAAGGAGTGACTGTTTGCCTGTGTACTGGAAATGAGGTTAATCATGGTGCATTTTTGGGCAGAAAAGATGGTTAAAAAAACAAAAGCTATTGGTTCTCTTATTCTCTTATTAGTTTTTCTCTTAAAATCTAAGTAGACTTTATTGTTTTGTGTTTTATTACAAATGGTCCTTTTTTTCTGTGCTATATGTCAACCTTGCCTTGAATATGTTATATTCAGAGTGTGATCACTTTGATTAAAAATAAAGTTACTAACCTACTTGGTGTACCAAAGCTCACCGGATATGTTTGCAGAGAAAATAAAGCATTTGGGGATGGCTGGGCCTTCTCATAAGATTATATTATATTTTCTGGTTTTTCACATCAGATTTGCATATAAATAACAAGCTTGTAATTTGATCTAGACTTAATTAACCATGGTCACATCTGTGCAGTAAGTGCACTCTAAAATCTGCCTCCAGCACTTGTGTAAATCCAGCGCTGTAACAACAAGGTCACTGTATGTTGTTTTGAACATGCTTTTGAGTATCACAGGGTAGAAATTCTAATTGATCCTTGCAAACAAACATATTTTTTATACAAGCAGCAGCTTGAATATCCATGTTTAAAGTGCCTGTTTGCACTTTTTGTATATATTCACTTTTAGAGCCATTTTACAATTCAACTGTATAGATTTGACAATTTTTGTCAAAAGTATTTTTGCTATTATAAATGTTTCTATGAGGATGATGCTAATAATAAACTGTGTTAAACAATGTTAGGCAAAAGCAATTTCTGTACTTATCTGTTGGCCCAGTAGGCATTTTGATCAGCTGTTTGTGAAAAAATTACAGTGATGATTTTTAATTTAAAGAAAAAGAAAGATTATTTTATATCTGACCCAATATAGATGTACTCAAGGGGTTTGAGTCTGTGAAGGTGTGTGGGGATTGTCATGATGGTAGCTGCATTATGGCTAAATGGTAAAAACAATATTAAGTACTCCTCTTCCTATTATTTAACTGACTTGAAATATAAGCTGTTTGCATTATAAGATAAATTTTTGTTTTTTTTATCTGTGAGGCAAAATTAAAGATTCTGTTTTTAAATGGTTTTCTGATTTAAAAATATACTCAATTGGTCTATTTTTGTGATTTACTTTAAATTTTCGTATTTCATACATTTTCTTAATGTATTCCCTTTTACTCAATGCACATATTGAAGAAAATATGACTTTTTTCCAAATGTTTGACTGTGGCTGACTTCATACAAATAGAACTAAATGAGCTTATACTGACCGATTTGTTCAGAAAGTGGTGTGAGTAAATGTTTTAATACTCATTGTAAATATTAAATAAAAACAAAAATAAATTCTGATGAGTTACTGTTGTGTTTATTTCCTGTTCAATGTGGGATGCAATGAATATGAGGCAAGTGCATTTCACAACCTTTGAAGGGCTGTGTGGGAGAAAAGAAGAGCAGTGGAGTTAGCAGGCTGAGCACTGTTCAGTGTTACCAGCTTGCATAATGAAAACTAGAGAGCAGTAGAGCAGCTTCATATAACTTAGAACTCACAATACATTCTTCAATAAGATTACTACAAAGACAAGACACTGACGTAACAAAAAACAAATAGGCATTTAAAAAAAGAATTGCAAGAAAATTACAATAAAAAAATCTTATAATATACATAAAAACATTTCTCACTGAAATGAAATAAAAGACAATTGTGCACCAAACCTTAACAGCTGTTTATCTTACAATTAATAAACAAGTTGATTATGGCAATAAATATATCAGCCATTTTTTGCATTTCAAGTACAGTTCTTATTAAAGCTGTTGAAAGGCATCATTAAAAAGAAAAATTATGGAGCACGGCTTTGTCTATCAAACAAAGCCCATAATTGTGACAATCCACAAAAATAATTCTGCTCAACAGTTCAGTTTTTTTCTTTGATCAAATGCTGGTTCTTTGACAAAACGTTCTTGTGATTTAAAGATAAGTCTCCAGAAGGCCAGTCTCTCAACCTCAGTGGGATTGATGATCAGAAAGATCGTCCAGTGGAATAACCGTGTATTCAGTTTCCTTTCCATTCTCTTTGGGTAGGAATGTCTGCATCTCCTGCTCCCTCTTCTGGTTCGAGGCATTAGTTTCGTTCACGGATATCTGCTTTGCATTCCATCTTAAAAAAGAAAAGATGAAAATATCATTAGTTCAGCACTCTTAGAGTATATTGGTAAAGATGGTAGTTGATCTTCTCATAATTAGGTCTTACTTGTCTCTGGTAGCAATAGCAGCGCAAAGTGTTACAAGAGCTGCTAGCCCAACAAGAAATCCAACAATAATGATCCAATCTGTACAAATGGGAAAACGGGTTACTCAAAAAAACAATTTCCTTGAATCATAAATAGGTTATATTGTAAATTATGTTTAAACTCACCAGGTGTGCTGTGTCCTTTTGACATTTCTGGTTTATTTTGGGGCTCTAAGTTGAAAGAGACAGGACATGTGAGAACAAGACACTCACATAAAAAACTGTTCTATAATATATTTCGTTAAACTGTTTCATAATTGAGTTTCATAAAATTTACCATTAAGAGGCTGCACTTGTGTTGAAACCCCATTTTCCTTTGAAATTATGTCATGATGATGAACTGGTGGCAACCTCCTGTTTTGAGGCCTTTTCTGCTCTGTGGTGGTAGGAATCGGTGTGGTTGAAGCAGTCAGAGTTGTTGTTGTAGTACTTGAACTGGGCTCAAAGAAGTTACCACTCCCTTCTCCTGAGTCTGTGGTTGATAAAACGCAGTTATCTGTGACACCACTTCCCTCTTCATTGGTATCAGAGGTTGTTTGTGGAGATGCAGGAATAGTTGTAGGTTCAGGTGTTTGGATTATTGGCAAAGTAGGTGTCACTAAGAAACCACTGCCCTCGCTTGAGTCAGAGATTGGCTGAGAGGACGTTTGGATGGTTGTGGGTGCTTCCGGGTATTCAGTCTTAGAAGCAAGATGGTTTTCTAAGAGGCCGCTGCCTTCAGTAAAGACTTCAGAAGGCTCCTGAATGGTTGTATTTATTTTCGGCGGCTCAGTTGTGGCCGATGTGCCAAAAATGTGGTCAACAAGGAAGCCGTCTGTAATGACCTCTTCAAGAACGTCCTCCTCTGGCCTGACAGGCATCTGGGTCATAGCTGCAACATAGAAAGAAAAAAAAACACATAAGAACTTATTATATTTACCAACTAGTCCTGGCATGAGTGGAAAGGAAATTTACTCAGTCCCTTTTATCTATTTCAACAGAACCTAAGAAAGCTTGTTTGGCCACAAATGTCTTGTATTAGCTTGCTTTGCACTCTGCTTTGACATGAGGTGTGGTGGGAACACCAATCATTAACCTGTGTGACTAATCTTTAGGTAACAAAAGAGAGCACCTCCGACAAAGCATCTCTCTCTAGATTTGACACACCTACTTTTTCAGAACAATGATGACAAATTAATTTGCTTCTATTTTACTAGGGAAGAAGGGTTTGTTGAAGAGGAAGCAACAGGAAAAAAGTTATCAAGTCGATTTGCCTGTAAGCGTTCAAATACTTTTTCAAACAAATGTAAATCGTCATATTTTATTTGTTTTATCAATGCATGTATTTGTTAATTCATTCATTTTATTAAAGGATACAATGTTTAAAAGTTTAAAGTTAAAGCTTGTCCTTTATACTAATGTTGCACCGCAGCATCTATACATCTGAACATTTTTGTATTTTTTTTAGCTTACAAAAGTGTGTTAATATTTTAGTTTCTACATTCATTATTTATAACGGACAAATACTTATACTGTCAGACAGAAAAAAAATCAAGGAGAGGGTCCTAAACATTAAATCACACATCTTCATTTAGCTTTTTTTGCTCAGTCATTTCAGGATCATGTGTTTACCCCCTTGTGAACCTGTTGCCCAAACTGGTGTAGCAGCTATTTGCTGATCTTTGGTTTCACAGTAATCAAGATCAACACATAAATGCACCCTTTTGGATTAGCTCAAAAGTTTTTTGTTTTTTTTTACAAAGACCTTTGTGTGTACTCAGGGGGTGGCATTGAGATTTGAGCAGCAGCTGTGAAACACAACTCAATAGGAGTTAGACCTTAAATTCCCCGATAGAATCAGTATGTGCTGATTCACAGGGTGAAATAGAATCTAATCATTACAAAAAAAATCTAACGGTGGTTTGTCATACTAAAGATTGTTTGGAATATTGTGATGATTTATTTCAAAGGTTTGTTTTTCACATCTGTATGGATATTGATTAAGCTCATTACAACCATATTATCTGACTGACTGTATACTATGTATATATTGTTGATTAATAGTTAAGAAATATAAAAATTAAAGATCTCTTACAGTCAACAGGAGAGGCGTTGATCACAGCAAGTCCAAGAAAAACCAAAAGCAGAAGAATCCTCATCTTCAAAATAGTAGTGACGTCAAGAGCTGAATTCAGTTATAAGCTAAGCTGAACTCTGTGAGACAGTGAAGTGTGAATCTGAAGCAGATGAATCATGCATCTGCTTTTATACTTAACGCCAGGTAGGTGTCACTTCAGAACACTGGTTGGTAATACACAAATACTCAGGGAGGTAGACACACCTGTTCATTTAAGCCCCTCCTCCTCTCATTTTCTCATGATCCTTTCTCCTCAGGCAAAGCATGACAAAATGCACATGATATGCATGAAAAAACATTCCTTTCCCTTGGCAGTTTCCCTTTGGTTATACAACATTAGATAATATGGCAAAGTTAAATAATATGCCAAGGCAAAATATGGCTCAAGGCCTGGTCATGTTTTTTATATTATCTAAAAAATTAAGTTCATGTCAAAACAGTCAGCTGATGTCTTTTTAATCCCTAAGTACACTTGTTTCATTAATCATGGTTTCTATCGTAATAATAAATTTGTGTTTTAGACCCGAACAGACAGTGAAACCCAGTGAAACAATACCCTGACTGACTTTAAACAAAAGTGTCACAAATAAAATGCAGAAATTACATGACTGACAAAAAGGAACAAGAACAAAACATCAAATACAAAGGCTGTTGTGTTGATCACATGTTTTCTACTTCCAAATACATTTAAAGTTATAATGTGTAAGGGGAGATTCCCACAATAAACCATTCATTTGGAGGTTTCTTCTTTTGATCTCTTTTCTCAAATTTGATTTCTTATGTAACAAAAAAAACTAAACTGTTACATAACTGTGGGAAAAAAATGATTTAGTCTAACAAGAAAAACTGTTTCCGTTTAAATAACAATACATGTTGCCTTGGTTTTCACCATAGAAACTGTGTCAAAGTTTTGGCTGCATGTTACGTTTGACATGAGATAAAAATATTTGCATTTTAAATGATCTGAAGAGTGTTTGTAGGTATTCTATGTTATTTAGCATTTTAATGAGATTATGGGAAACTCACTGAAACTAAACTTCAAACTGTGTGAAACCGCTTTAACAAAAGTGCTTGATGACTGGAAAATCTACTGGAAGTTGATCAAGTTTTGAGCACATCATAAATTGCATTCCATTTTGGAAGCACCTCAAAGAACACACCCTTTTCATGACAATTAAGTATCATCCAATGTTACTTCCTTCCCATGTCCCACAAGACAACTGAACCTTAAATCCCTTTTTTTTCTTGCCATTGCCTCGGATGCTTAAAGCTGTGATTTCTGACTTAGCTTAAAAAGTTTTGCCACAAACTAAGCTCTGTATCATCTCCCTGCATGTTGTGTGTACTGTATACTTCATAATGGCTGTTGTTATAAGCCTGCTTTTGACTAAGCTGAGCGTCACTGAAGAGCTGTAGCTGCAGGTCCTTTGGCGCATACATGAAGTTACGACATGCGTCACAAATTACTCAGCATGTGTGGGTTAGTGCTTGTCCAAGCTTGTATTCCACACCCAACACAGGCTCTGCTTTCTTCAACCGGAAAGAATGGAATTTTACAGCATATTAGCTGTGATGCCGAACATAATGAATAGGTTCAAGCACAATGCTTGCTTTTCCATGTGTGTAATGGTAAGTTTTCTGTGGCCAGACGGTTCTTTGATTCTGCGTTAGACTCACTTAAAGATTGTCTAGTCAGTGTGTGATAAAAGAGATTTCAAACTACATAAAAAGCCACATGATAAAGGCCATGAGTTTTTAACAAAGTCTAAAATATATTTTCTACCTTACTCTTCTGTTAGATTTTTTTTCTCTCCCAACATCTAAATGTTTCAAAGCAAAAGAATTGATTTCCAAATAATAAGAAAAAAATGTTGAAACCCACACTGGAAAAACAATCTAGAAATTAGTAAAAAAATTTCTTAAATTAAGTGTATTGTCCCTTATTTTGAGTAGGTAAATGAGATAGTTTGCCAATGGAATGAGTATTTTTACTTTTAAAATAAGATAATTAGAGGATATGCACTTGAAATAAGATAATGTGATTGTTTTTTCTTATTTTAAGTGTAAACTTTCATGTTCCGCTGGCAAAATGTCTCTTTTACCTCCTGAATCCAAGAACAAATGCACTTATTTAAGAAAAAACGACTTATCTATATTTCAATTTTTTTCCAGTGCACAAAGCCAAAATTTAGAAAAGAGTTACCCTCCTTTTAATCAAAATTATCACTTCCTCAGAACTTGTGAGACAGCATGAGACAGAATAAAGAATCTTAGAGCCCACTGATTATATAAACTACAACTGAACAAAAAAACATGAAACAGTAAGGAACCTTCGTAAACCAGTTGACAAAAATTAGTTCAAATGTGTGTGTAGGAAGGATCTGTTGGTGCACCAGGGAGCGTTATCACAGATCCTTCCTCCCAACAGCTGTAAGACTCTATAACCACCACCGTTCCCAACAACCTCAATAAGTTGTTACATTCATGCTGATTTTGCACAGTTTCTATCTCAGTCAGTTAAATAACATTATGCTGTCATTTTGCACATCTCTGATGTTGTTGCTATTTTCAAATATCCATTACTGTAAAAATGTCGATAGCTGTATATTGTTTATTTATTCTCCAGGTGCACAGTATTTATATTGTTACTTTACAGTAGGCCTATAGTATTTTATTGCTTATCTTTTCGCTCTTTACTATTATGTCATTCTTATACATTTTTCTAAGGTCCATATTGGTGTTACAATTTTTTCTTTAATCTTTTTGCTGCTGTAAACACCAGAATTTCCCCATTGTATGACAAGAAAGGGATTTTCTATTCTATTGTACTATATTTCCAAAGATGGGTGTGAAGGGGTTAATATCACCAGTTTCACATTTTAATAAAAGAAACCATTCAAATATGATATGTTAAAAGGGCATGTGTAACCCAGAGAAAGATTAGAATGAGGGTGAATACAGAGATCAATTAAGCAAGAAGTTCTGAGTTCAGGATTCTGAGCTCTATGCACTATCCGTTAGGCTACCTCCCTGCCCTCAAGAAGCCCAGTTAAGGCAATCTCAATCCTCTACTCTATAAGCACAGCGCCACCTCATTTACATCATGAGTAGCCGGTGACATTCAATATGCATCTAATCCCAGATAAAACATAGCATAAAGCAGGAAAATAAAAATATATCACGCTCACAAGAGGTGTCGGTTATCTATAAACAAAATCCATCCCTCTGTCTTTGTGTAGGGAGTCTTAGTATCTCCATTCAGTATCAGCCATTGAGGCCAGAAGAACTTTTAATAAAAGCAAATCTAAAATGCGCAATGTCGCTGGGTTAGCTCGATTATAAACATTTTGGTCCAACTGCTCAATCCGAGGAGAGAAAATGCTGACGTAGGGTTGGGCCCTCTAGTTGACTAACCCCTACCTGTATTAAAAAGTGCATTTTGTGTTCACTAAGGTGGTTTTTAATTATATAAATTCTCTGTTGATCTAAAGAACTAAAACATACAGAAGAAACCTGCAAATGAGGCAACATCTTCCCTTTTTCACAAGCTGTAACAGGTAAACTGGTAAAAGACCAAGCATTGTATTTCCTTTGGTGCATTTCTTAAACAAACACAGAGTGTAAAAAAAAAAAAAGTCAAAATTTCAAGAATTTAAAACATCAAAGGCTAGATCTCCTTGAGATGCAACGGTAAAACCCAAACTTCAAAGGTTCATTTGAGATTTTTTTCTACAGACTTCAGATGTTCAGCATATAATTTTGCCCAAACCTTTTTTTTTTCTTGGTTTTCAAAAGCATGCATGGATATGGAGCAGCAAACACATAGCCTTTGGGGTTATGAGGCTTTTCATCAAAAATTCATTACATTTAAGCGATGGAAAGCAAAAAGCCAGTTTTTCAAAAGCAATATCTGTCCACAAGCAACATTTGGCCAAACATCTTATTTTCTAAGAGTCTAAATTTCAGTATACGCATGTTTTGGAAATGTAAATTCATCTTGCTGTTATCTCAAACCTTCAGACTGAATATAAATGATTAAAAAAACGTCCTTTTGCTGTTCTTGTACAATGAATTATACGAATAGATAAACACTTGTAGGAACCCTTCAAGATCATGCCCAGTGGTCTTTCCAGGCCAATTAGCGGCAATCCTCCCTCATCTTCTGCTGTACTGTTATCTCATATTTTGGGGAAGCGAACGTTGTTCCAATGTCTCAAATCCCAAGGCTACTCAGCCCAGTGACCTGTGAACAGCGGCAGTCACATTTGTTACCGGTGTGGAAAAGCAGGCAAAAATAAGGGGTCTGGTGTGTCAATGACCTGCATTAAAAATCAGAGCCAGCATGCAAATACTGAAACACTGTAAGCATTTCTCAAAAATTGGCTCTTGTAATAACAGTTTTACATATAAGGTTACAAAAAAATACTTGAAATGTTCACCTCTGTGCTTTTAGAAAGTTTAATCCATTAGTACTGTAGCTACAGGAGAGTGGGAGGAAAGAGCACGAGTTAAAAAAGCAACCACAAAATAATGTGAAACACTTCATTAGATCTGCTTCCCTCCAGTTTACTTAGTTGTGACAGTTGTTGGATTTTATTTTAACACACCAAATCATCCTGCACTGCCTGGCAGCAAAGACAACGAAAGCTGTTTACATGGGAGGCAAAAGACAAGGATTACACTAAATGATGTATTTAGGCAACCATGCAGTATGTTTTAACTATGTCCAAAACATCACTGCTTTTTGACTTCATTACTTTTAGATAATAACATACATGCATGTTGGATATTTCATATATGAGGCGATGTTTAAATCTCTTTAAAAAAAGAGAAAAACCAGATAATCTACTGTTGCTGTTAAAAAATATTGAGTTTCTGAAGATTCTGCTTTTTTGGATTGCTTTAACCCATTCCTCCATCTGAATTTAATGTACTCATTTAATAAGAAGCTGGTCGCTGTCTCTGCAACTCTGTCATTGACAGGGAGCCAAGAAAGACTGACAACAGTTTCCCAATCAATTTTAGATCCAAAGAAGACAAATATATAAGCATGTACACATCCACACTTAAGGTCAGTTTAGAGTTAACTAATTAAGATGTGAAATTTTATCAGCGAT